AGGAGAGGGAGCAGGAAGTGGGGAGGCGGGCTCTAACTGGGACTGTGACTGAGCAGGCTGTGGACACGCTGCAGGAGGAGAAAGACCAAGAACCTGCTGTAGGAGTGGAACGAAGTACGGCCGAGGCCGCGCGGCGACTCCAGACACAGCAGGGACAGCACCCTCAGCAGCAGCACCAGCGCCAACAGCACCTCCAGCTCCAGTACCTCCAGCAGCACCAGCAGTACCCGCAGCAGGACCACCGCCAGGAAGGACAGCAGCAGTCTCAGCACCAACACCCGCGGCAGCTCCAGCTCCAGGCGGACCCGAGGTCCCAGCAGCTCCGGGACCAGCGGCACAAGTACCCTCAGCAGCCGAAGGAGCTCCAGCTCCAGCAGTACGTCTCCAGCGGCGAGCAAACCACTCGCGCAGCTCCTGTGGAGAGAGGGGCTCCCGCCGAGGCGAAGCACCCGGAGAACCGCCAGGTCCCGCACCGCCAGACGCCACAAGGGGAGGTCCAGTGGCCGCAGGCTCCGCAGCTCCAGGCTCAGTAGCTCCAGACGCAGCACCCCTTGGCTCAGCACCCCCAGTCACAGCACCCCCAGGATCAGCACCCCCAGACTCCGCACCCCCAGGCTCAGCACCCCCAGTCGTAGTACCCCCAGGCTCAGCACCCCCAGACTCAGCACCCCCAGGCTCAGCACCCCCAGGCTCAGCACCCACGCGCGTAGCACCCACAGAGTCAGCACCCCCAGGCTCAGCACCCGCAGCAGGACCAGAGTCACCAGCAACCTCGACCGGCTCGACTGCGTCTACCTGGGACACACCTGAAGGGGCAGGACCCTGAGGGGGAAGGGGGTCTACCGGGGGGGGACCTGGCACAAGGAAGTGCGGTGGCAGGGGGAGGGAAGGAGTGCGGTAGGGGAAGAGGCGGTAGAAGGGGACTGACTCATCGAACGTGACGTCCTGGGAGGACAGAACACGACGAGAGGAGGGGTGGTAGAACTGCCACCCTGGGGCGTCAGGGGGGAAGCCGAGGAAGACACAGGGAGCAGCACGAGGGGACAGCTTGTCCGCAGACAAGTCGCGGACAAACGCCCGAGATCCCCAGACACGGAACGCAGACGCATCGCCGACCTTCCCCGTCCACAGCAGAGCTGGGGAGGTCTCCGGCCGGGAGACCCTGGGGTGAAGGTTGATCTGATGCGCCGCGTACCGAACCGCAAACGGCCACAGAAAATGGGGGGCAGCCGCATGCATCATGGACGTACGAGCGACGTCCATGACCATGCCAATGCGGCGCTCAGCAATCCCATTTTGCTGTGGAGAGTCCGGAAGCGTAAAGGTCTGGCGGATGCCTCGTGCACGACAGTAGGCTCGCAGAAGGCCAGAGGAGAACTCTCCACCTCGGTCAGAGTGCAGACGCAGAACAGGAAAGTCCGAGCCGAAGCTCCTCCTGAGCTGGAGACGAGCTGCGCGGATCCAGTCGATCAACACCTCAGTGACATCACCCTTGCTGCGCAAGGGGAAGACTGTGGTGTAACGCGAGTAGTCGTCAACCACCAGCAGGAAGTAGCGCTCGTGACCCTGCCCACGGACGCGGGCCGGGCCCCACACGTCCATGTGAAGCGTCTGCAGAGGAGCCTCTGTCGGGGGAAACTGGGAGGAGTGAGGGGCAGCCCGGAGCCGCCCCTCGACACAGGGGACACAGGAAGGTCCGGGTCCCGAAGGAAGGGGAGGGAGAGACCGGGGAAGACCAGAGACAAGGACACGGGAAGCCATGCCCCGAAGACGAGGCAAGGAGGGGTGGCCAAGACGGTGGTGCCACAGGAGAGTCTCATGAGACAGGCGGCGACACGAGCAGGGGGCAGACTCAGGACCAGACCTGGACGCAGCAGCAAACACCTGACCCGACGCAGCTACCTGGCCAGACGCAGGGACAGGAGGAGACTCAGTGGTCAGGGTGTAGAGACTCGACCCCGGCCGACGCGAAAACGTGGCCAGGTGTCGGCCTGTGCGGGCGTCCGAGCAGTGGGTCACCCGCTGACTCGCAGGAGTAAACTGGTGAACCCCCGCATCCTGCAGGTCAGCACCACTCACCAAGTTCGTCGAGAACGAGGGGAGGTACAGACCAGACAAGGTGCCCGAGGGGGCAGCCGGACACGGGAGGACAGTGGAGAAGTGAGAGAGGACAGGACCCCCAGAGGGGTCAGCCAGGGAGACTGCAACCGGCCGGCCAAGCGGCGTGAGTGTGGTGCGGTCTCGAAAGAAGGAGCGAGAAGCCCCTGAGTCAAGCGTGAAGGTGACGGAGGCCGAAGCCGACGCAGTACCTGAGAGCGCAGCCTCACCAGTACCTGAGAGTGCAGACGCACTGGCACCTAGAGCAGCAGCCGCAGAAGTACCTGGCGCAGCAGTACCAATGCCCGGGTCGGGCGGGAAACACCGGTAACAGTCACCCTCCTCACTAATAGTCACAGCATACATAGCAGCAAGGATAGCATCAAAGTCAAGATCAAAGATAGCTACGCCAGCCCTAGACAGCTCTCCCCAACGGGGAATCTCACTGGCCTCGGGGAACTGCTGACGCCAAGCGTCCGTCAGGCGGCCAAAGCAGCGCTGGGTGGGGTGGGCACCCCCACACTGCTCACCCGCGCGGTCGCCGGAACGAAGGACGTAGGTGCACGGACCAAAACCCCCACCCCGCTGACGCTGCGTGTACCACTCACGGAGCTGCTGGGGCGGGGGGATGTCCCGCGAACGATGCTGCTGCTGCTGCTGCTGCTGCTGCTGATGCTGGCCACCACCAGAGCCGCTACGCTGCGGGGCACCACCCCGACCAGCTCCACCCCCTCCGCCACCGCCGCCTCCACCTCCACCACCACCGCTGCCTCCGCTTCCACCGCTGCCGCCACCACCGCCTCCTCCTCCGCTGCTGCCACCGCCACCACCGCCCCCGCCACCACTCCCACCGCCACCCCCACTCCCTCCGCCGCCTCCACCGCCACCTCCACCGCCCCCGCCAGTTCCACCCGCGCCCTTGCCCCCCTTGCCCCTGCCAGGGCGGCGTCTCCCGCTAGGGGCAGACGCCGCGCAGACCGACTCAAGACCAAGCAGGTCGGCAGCAGCAGCAGAGGCAACAGAGGGCAGCAGGGGGGAAGGAGAACACCCCTCAAAGATGGGGGTGCGAGGGTCACCACGAGAGGCTCCTACAGCGACGATGCTCTTCTCCGCCGCAAGGAGGGACTTCTCGAGGAGGTCGACAGTGAGAGTGGTGGGACAGACTGAGAGGAAGTGGTCCCTGACTACGCGAAGGGAGTCAGGGAGGCGTGTGACTATGTAATAGAGAGTGATGTACATGGGGGGGGGGTTCTTGGCGCAGAACTCAGCAGGAAGGGCGGCGCGGTAGCGAGTGTCACTAGTGCGGAGGTGCGTAATGAGGTCAGCGACAGTGGGAAAGGCAGCAAGGTCAGGAAAGAGGTACGGTAGCATGAGGCGGCTCAGGGCAGCAGTGGCAGGGGAAGAGTAGCGCGCAACTACAGCGTCGTACAAGGTCTGAGCACTCTTGTACTGACTAAAATGCGCGCGCTCAGTGGTAGGCAGGTGGCGACGCACAGCAAGACGTGCAGCAGCATCGCGGGTGGCCCACTGAGAGCGAACAGTGGGGTCAGCATCAGCAGCAGGGGCAGGAGAGGCGCCAGAGGTGAGGTCAAAGAGGGAAAGACCGTCCGCCCGATCGCACTGTAAGAACAGCTGCAGGTCGTCGACCCAGACCTCAAAGTCAATGGCTCGACCCTCAGCGTCAAAAGCGAGGACACTAGGGGTAGCCATGACGACGACAGTGTAGTAGTGCAAGCAGTAGGGGAAGGGCACGCAGTAACAGTGGTGCTGTGCTCACCACGCAGGGCAGGTCGGGCGGCTCGGCAGTAGGGCGGCCCGGCAGCTGGGCGGCTCGGCGGCTCGGCTGCTGGGCGGCTCGGCTCCCGGGCGGCTCGGCGGCAGGGCGGCTCGACGGCAGGGCGGCTCGGCGGCAGGGCGGCACGGCGGCTCGGCTCCCGGGCGGCTCGGCGGCAGGGCGGCTCGGCGGCAGGGCGGCTCGGCTCCCGGGCGGCTCGGCTGCAGGGCGGCTCGACGGCTGGGCGGCTCGGCTGCTCTGCTGCTGGGCGGCTCGGCTGCGCTGCTGCTGGGCGGCTCGGCCGCTGTAGAGGAGTGGCGGGGCCGCTGCAGAGAAGGGCGGCGGGGCCGGTTGATAGGGCGGCGGGGCCGCTGATGGGGCGGCGGGGCTGCGAGGAAGGGCGGCGGGGCCGCGCGATGGGGCGGCGGGGCCGCGAGGAAGGGCGGCGGGGCCGCGAGATAGGGCGGCGGGGCCGCGCGATGGGGCGGCGGGGCCGCGAGGAAGGGCGGCGGGGCCGCTAGATAGGGCGGCGGGGCCGCGCGATGGGGCGGCGGGGCCTCGCGATGGGGCGGCGGGGCCTCGCGATGGGGCGGCGAGGCCGCGAGGTAGGGCGGCGGGGCCGCGCAATGGGGCGGCGAGGCCGCGAGTAAGGGCGGCGGGGCCGCTAGGTAGGGCGGCGGGGCCGCGCAATAGGGCGGCGAGGCCGCGAGGTAGGGCGGCGGGGCCGCTAGGTAGGGCGGCGGGGCCGCTAGGAGAGAGGCGGCGGGGCCGCGAAGACGAGTGGCGGGGCCGCTAGGAGACGGGCGGCGGGGCCGCTGAGACGAGTGGCGGGGCCGCAGTGAAGGGCCGCTAGGGCGGCTCGACGAAGTGAGGGCCCGGAGCGCGACTCGGGCTGAGCGTGCTTCGGGCAGGAAAAAAAAATCGATGTGGTGGGCCCTAAGCACAGTTCCCAAGGGGGAACCTGCTCGATACCATGAGAAGATTTGAACAAGAATGAATGAACTATGAATGAAGTGAGTACATATAGGAAACCCTAATTGGGTTGTACCCCCTATGGGATACCCCACTATAGCCTACACAACAGCATAAGCTATATATATGTTCTGACAAATGCCGAAACCCACCATACCTACTGCCCAGAATCAACAGCAAGAGCAGCAGCAGTGTTGACTGCGAGCCCCGGTGAGAGGTCAGCACAGCGCATGAGAGGCAGGTGGAGCACCGCAGCCAGGGCACGCTCCAGCAGCAGTGGCTGGCCGTCAGGGCACTGACCCTGGGTGGGGGGGTGGTGGTAGCACGGCTCTGGGGGGCAAGGGGGGCAGGAGGAGGAGGCAAAGCGGGCCGGGGTGTGGGGGGCGAGGGCAGCAATGAGGTAGCCGAAGGTGGAGGTGGGAGAGAGGAGGAGGGAGTGGGAGAAGAGGGCGAGGGAGAAGAGGTCGATGATTGCATCGTCCACGTTGCGCCCGTTGCTGTTGTCCTGCTGCTCCTCCTCCGTCAGCTGCACCACCTCCACCTCCGCCCTTGTACCACCACTGCTGTTGTCCCTGCCGCTCTCGCTGCTCAAAGTGCCACCTTCCGCAGGGCTGGTGCTGCTGCTGCTGCTGTCGGTTGCCATGGGGTCGTACCGTATGGCCCCGCATATGCGGCGCAAATGATAGAACAAAAAATTCACCAATCCATCCATCGCCAATGCCTACAACGCTTCTTTGAGCAGCATAGGAATATGACACACAATGTTCTTGTAGTTGTGTTGTTTGATCACATGTTGCTTCTAGCAGGATGGTCGGAGTAGGATTATGACCTTACTTTATTGAACGAATCACTCTTGTTGGTGAATTTGTTGTACCATAATAATCTCACTTGTCTTACCCCATACTGCAAGGAGTTGTGCACATGAACGCTTGCGTTTTAGTAGGAGGTCATACCGTATGGCCCCGCATATAGGTGTCGTCCTATTATAAGAGGTCATAGGCACCGGCGCTTTTATCTGGAGCATGGCGCTTATGGCCGGAACTCGATTATAAGCGCCCCCCCCTGCAAAACCCTGATATATGACTACAATATCACATTTAACAACCAGAATCACATGATCCTAGACAGAAAGAGGAAAAAGGGAAAGAGAGACATAAATGAAGGAGAAGGGAGGTGGAGAAGGAAAGGGAGGAGGAAAGTAAAACTGCCAAAAAAACTCAAACGCGACACCTATAAAAAGCCCCATCAAGATACTCAATCAAAACACCCAGTCAAGACATCCCATCAAGACACCCCATCCCGCACCCCATTTCACCCCCCCTCAGTCACATCTGCGCATCCACCATGTACAGGGCCTCCACCCAAAGAGCCCCTCCCTCCACCTCGACGTGGTCCCTTTCCCGGTCCACCAAATCCACATTCATTCCCCCCATGGAAGACGCCGCCCGAAGCAGAATGACACAAGCTTGCGCCCGTTGTAACTCCACCCCGATGAGCGCCTTCAGAGACCCCAAAATATAAGCCGAAAACAAAGTGTCATCCTCCCGACAAGCCCCCAGTGACACAGCTAGCCCCACGTGCGCATCCCCCTGTTGTCGAAGCCACCGCCGGAAACGACCGCCGAGACACCCCCACGTCTCTACTTTTTTTTTTTTTTTTTTGGGACATAATACACTACACAATGCATCACATCCGCAGTCGTAACTGAAGGAGGAGGGAGGCACAGACCAACCTAATAGGGTTTGCAATGTCCTCCCTGTTGATCGCTTACGGTGTTGGTGCAATCCTACGGTTTGCACTTGCCTTGTTGCCCGTGTGCGTGCATGCGTGTGTGCGTGGAATGGTATGAGGGCATGGGATAATATATATTTCATGCTTATAATAATGTGTGAATGATGGGTCATGATGTCGAGTGTGTGTGTGTCAAGTCAATAGCGAATTATCGCTAGTCGCGTGTAACGTGGTCATTTTGTGTGTCCCGCGCGGTTTCTATTTTGTCGTGCGCGGTTTCTATTTTGTCGCTTGTCGAACGTTCGGCGTGTCGCAGGTGTGTGCAGCAGACCCATCAAGAACTCAAGGATGGGTTTGTGATGAAGAACCCGAGCCCTGGTGTCAACATTCAAGTGATCGCGAAGCTCGCCAACAGGGTACACCTCAAGAGATTGAAGATCGTTACATTACTTTGTGTAGTGTAACATTTCACTTGGTGTAGGCCCTAGTGAAGGGTACTTTCGAGACCCTTCGTGGTTGGAGACAGTGTGCCACTGTTCCACTTCACTGTACCTCGGCTCTTGGGGTTTGTAGGAGCTGGGAGTCATTCCCAACTCGTAACTCTTCCTATCTTGTGTTTTAAAACTATAGTGGCTGCCATAGTGCCGTTCGTTCAAACCGACGCTGTGTCGTCAATACTTGGTGAGATCGTGTGACCTAAATTGCCTGGCGACGTTAAGACGCTCCAGATCCAAGTTGAATCAGGTCATTTGAAGCTGTGACCAGAACGCTATGAACGTTTAAAGCCACTGTGCAGAAATCCGACTGTGCACTCTATCTTTCGTTTTAGGCACATTGAAGCCTACTGTGACTATAACATACGGAGGCTTAAAAAAGGTACTAGGTCTCTCCCATATCGAGCTGAAGGCCTTGTTCCACGTCAGATGCTCGTCTTGTTCACATATACGGCTCAGTGCTGCCACCTCTCCAGCTGTCAAGAGTTGCCCTCCTCTAGCTCCTCTCCCCTTTTGTCCCCCTTTTCTGCCACTTCCTCCACTGTAGATCCGCACATGCCTCTTGAAATTGGCCCCAATCTTCCTGGCCACGCGTCTGGGCTCAAAGGTTTTCTGCCGGAAAACCATGTCACATCTTTCCAACCAAATGTGCCTGAACGTGACTGCGATAAGCGTCGATTCCGGAAAACCGGATGGTGTGCTGTCTTCGGCGAATAACAACTCTCCCAGTGTGCCCACCGCTCTTGCTGGGTGCGAGTCTTGAAGCGCGCCACAGATTCCCTTAACCACTGGGCAGCTCATCAAACAGTGAGTTGGCGACTCTTCCTGCTTGGAGTAGGGGCAGCATGCACAAGAACCGAAGAAAGCCAACCTGATGCCCACTTGCAGGTTGTGACTGTGTAACCTCAACAGTACCTCTCTTGCTTTGGCTGGAATTGCCAGCGAGTCTCTCTTCGCGATGGCTTTACCCCAGTCAATCTTCCCTCCCCAGTTCTCCTCCCACTTCTTCTGCTGCTTAGGCTGTTATGCCGGTTTCCTGAGCAGATGTCTCAGCTTCCTTTGCGCCGTAGGTTTTCCCTCCTCACACAAAAACGTGGCCCTTAATCTTGTACGTGGATCACCCGCCTGACCCAACAAACAGCCTCCTTTGGCCACCATTGGAGTTAATATACTTAGCATCGCCGGCGGTTGCGTCTCGATTCCCAGCTGCTTAATTTTCCCTTTGTTGTCCACCTCCACTCTTTCGCACTTCAGCTCCTTGTTTTCTGCTAGCGCCACCTACAGATGACTCTGCCTCCCCCCTACCGTTTTTCCAACTTTGACCAGGGTCGTAGCTTCAGCAATTTCCACCACCGTCACCTTCGCGAGTAATTTCTTTTACTATGAAAGGGGTGAACTGCATGCCCCGGTTGCGTGCAAGCAGAGGCGCGTAATCAGTCATTTTGCGACGCTCCCTCTCCTTTGCCACCACACCTATAGAACGCCCGCACTGCCCTAGCAGAGATGGAGACAGCGATAGCGGGTCCGCGACGCTGATCTCTAAAGCGTGAGGCTCTCCGGCCATTGGTCGTCGCACCGCTACGTCAACCCGCTTCCCCAGCAGCACCACACTATCCTCCATCATCACCACCCCCCCTGACGCCTTAGAGATCCTCGCCACCGCAAACTTCACCTCATCATGCACCAAAAATGGACCGTGCTGGTGCTTGCATCTCAGGGCATGATGCGGGTCTGCTGGGTCAACATACGCTGTGCCACAAACACACCTCCTTGCCACCTGCAGCTGCTGAATTGGGAGCCCGAGCCGTATAGTAGCAGCAATGCCCCACTCAGCCGCAGTGAATGTGAGATCTGAGTGAGCCGGGACCGCCAAAACCCATGCACCAGCCCCCGAGCCCTGAAGGGATGTGAAACGGGCCAGGGTGGCATCGTCACGAGCCGAGCGGCGCAGTGCCTGGAGCTCCTCTACAGCCAACTGCCGTTGCCGCACCTGAAAAACCCGAAGAGGAGGGGCCGCTACACACAGAGGTAAGCCCGACATCTCCTGGCGTATAGTCGCAGGCAGCTGCTCAATAGCCTTGGCAAACCAAGGATCAAGAAACGCTGCCCGTGCCGAAGTGATGAGGTGCTCTGCAAACATCGCCTCCTCGCCCGCCACCCCCAACTGTGCAATATCATGCGCGGCCTGCGCCCACCCACAAACATAGGACAGCGGACTCAAAGAGGCCGCCGCCCGGATCCCAAACCCTCCGATATGCAGCTGCATGCGAGCGCGCCTAGACCGGTCGGGGTCCTGCTCCCAAGTGCCAGGTGGGAAAAGCTGCTCAAAGCAACCCTCCAGACAGCTATCCCAATTCTTAAAGGCCTCCACCACCTCCGGACGAGGCAGCATAGTCCAAGCCAGGTACATCGGCCATGCTGAAACTGCAATAGCGAGGAGATGTGAAGCCATCTGGGAAGCAGAGGGGGGCATGGCAATGGCGTCTGCAACTGTCAAAGCCGCTCCCGTAACCAGACCACCTCCCAATCCTCCTCCCTAATAGGCACGCCCACCACAGTGAGATCCTCCTCCACCCGCTACATCCCCAATGGCAGTGCCCGCTCCCCATCCCCGCCTTCGCGCTCCCAAAACCGGCACTTGTGTGCCTGCACCTCCAGCCCCACCCACTCCAACCACTCCTGCAGCACCCCAAAAGCCTCTAGAATCCTAGCCGCTGGTCCCATGATATAGGTATCGTCTACATAACTCAAGTAGGTCCCTGAACTCTCTAGTCACCGACTCCATCACATGCTGCTGCGTGAACGCGAAAAGAAAAGGGTCGAGCGGGCCCTCCTGCCGCGATCCTCATGCCGACTCAAGGCTCTGTACGAAAGGGCCCGCTCGGAGGTACTTTTTGCTAGGTGGCCCGTAGAAAACACGCAAGAATGCAATCAACTTGGAGAAAGGCGACTCCCGCGGCCCCTCAAACATCGCATGACGGTGAAACGAATTGAAGGCGTACGCGACGTTTATCTGCAGCGCACACCAGTCGGGGTGAGTCGCCAGCGCTGACCAAAAAGAATTAGTAAGAATCTCCACCCCGGCCCTGGTGCCCGCTCCCAGCTGGTTGCACGGCAGAAAGTAGGAAGCCATCGCAGGGCGGAGCGAGGTGTAGAGAGCTCGAGCAAGGATACGCGGAAGCACCTCCCCAATCGCCACCGGCTGGACGTCGCCGTTAGGCTTGGAAAGCCCAACTAGGTTGGATGCGGTGAGCTAGGGGCGAGCCCGCTCGAGGACCTGTTCCGCCACCCAATGGTTGAACACTTCCAACAGGTGGGAAAGGCAGGAAGGTTCAGTGAGGAAGGTCTCGCGCAGATGCTCTGTGACCCACCCCGATTGTGAGGATCTGGGATCGAGCTTAGAAAAGAGAGTTTGAATTGAATGATCACCTAGGTACAACACA